TGTGAGGATCGAATAAGATAATATTTGTGAAGCACTTAACATAGTGCCTGATACAGAATAGGTGCTTAATAAATGCATAATTCTCTCTTTCCATATCTATTCCCATGGACTTTGGTTGGCAGAATGTGATTACTGTAGTTTTGCCTTGGATTGCCTTGATCATTTCTGGTCCAGTGCTGTTTTTTTATCCTTGCTTGGAGGAGTTATGAGAGAGCGAGCTACATTCTTTCACTGGAATATCTTGAGTCTTCCAATGCTAAATACTGTAAAGGAAAACAGCTTTGAAAGACCTAAGAGCTATAATCAGTGCAATGAATGATCACAAATCTGGAGGACTAGTGATGAAGCATGCTATATACTTCCCAACAGAGAGGTGATAAACTAAAGGAATGGAATGAGACATCCATTTTTGGAATTCCTTTGCTCAATTGTACATATTTGTTACAAGGTTTTTTGATGGGATTTTTTCCAGTTTATTGGAGAAAAGTGGGGTTAGCAATACAGTTGTCAAAAGGAAGAAAAAAAGAAAGCAAAGAAGATCATTGGAACTTCTTTGAAGCATACACAGAAGAGAACAGAAGGAAGGCCAGAATGAAACAGAGACAAGCAGTTCAGTTCTGAAAATAATGAATTCAGTTTATCATATACCTAAAAGGAAAAGCAAGCAACATATAAGAATCACAATATTATTTGTGATCCTCTTTTTCTGTTATACTTTATATATAGAAGTGCTCATTTCATTTGGTGTTTGTTAAGCATAAATTTTTTTAAAAATTTCTTTCCATGTATTTTTGAATCCATCCCTTTTGTCATTCCTTAAAGTGCAGTAATATTCCATTACATTCGTATACCATAATTTGTTCAGCTATTCCCAATTGATGTATATATTCCCTTAGTTTGTAGTTCTTTACTATATCAGAAGTGTCACTGTGAATGTTTTTGTATATAGATCCTTTCCTTTTTGATCCCTTTGGTGTATGGGCTTAATCCTAATATTACTGGGTCAAAGAGTATATATAGTTTAGTGACTTTATGAATATAGTTCCAAATTGCTGTCCAGAATAGCTGGATCATTTTGTATTTCTATCAACAGTCTACCAGTGTGCCTCTATTCCCATAGCCCTTCTGACAATTGTCATTTTCCATTTTTCATTATCTTTATCAGTTTGGGGATAAGGTGGAACCTATGAGTTGTTTTAACTTGCATTTCTCTAACTATTAGTGATTTGGAAAATTTTATCATATGGCTGGTGAAAATGTAGGTTTCTTCCTTTCAGAACTTCATTTTCGTATCCCCTATCCATTTATCTACTGGAGAATGGCTTTTGTTCTTATTTGAGTCAGTTCCGTATATACATACATACATACATACACAAACTTTTACCAAGTTTTCTTTCTGATTTTAACTGTTTTTATGAATAAATCTATTTTTTGTGCTCTACTTTGTGTATAGAATATTCATTTTACTTGATGTCTAAGTCAGAATTTTAAAAAAATTTAAAATAATGTCAGCTGTATTGATTTTGTTCATATAAAAGTTTTTAAATTTTAGTTATCAGAGTTGCCCATTTTATTAGCCCATTTGGTCATTCATAAACTCTTCTATCGGTAGTAGAGATGAGTGTACACAGCTCGGCCTATCCCCTCAGGGTATTCAGGATGAGATTTCTCTGTCAGTACTTCGTGGTTCATAGTCACTAGGTGTTGCTGACATTGGAAACTTGCAGCAATAGTTCTAGGTAAGGGATCCTCCTTGTTCTGGCTGAGAAGTTTCTGCTCTGTCTCCTTGGGTGCTATGATAGGAAGTACTATTGGTGAGTTTTGAGTCAGGACTAAGGTGTAAGGGATAGGGGTTTACAATACAGATGCCCACATTACTGGTATTGGTGGTCTGCTTCTGTAGTATTTGGATATAACTAGTGTTTTATCTCCTTGGACAGGTGTCCACACTGCTCCACTGTCACCAATTTGTACAGCTTATTGTAGTGTAACCAGCTTTGGAATATGAGGACCTGGGTTCAAATCCTAGCTTCAGTGTTACTAGCCTTTGTGACCTTGGGCAAAACCTCTCTGGGACTTAATTTTCCTAATTTGTAGCATGAGAAGATTGGACTAGATAATCCCTTCTTGATCTAATGTTCTTTGTTTTGTGCCTGTGACATCTCTAGGAAATTTCTGTTATGTGGGATTCATATTCCCTACCTAGAATTCCTGCTCCTTAGTTGCTGCCTTACAGGGCTGCTCAGACCCTGGATAATTGCATTATAGAGCTTGGAGAGCCTTGTATCCAGGACTTAGGTCTTGTGTCACTTGTATCAGTGTTACAACTTTACTTGTGTATTTGGCCTGGTTTGAAAGCCAGTCTTTTTTACCATCTCAGTGAGCAAAATCTTGGACTAGAAAGGATTTATCTATCTGCCTCCACATATATTCTACCCTATACAAATGAGACTCGTTTCTAGTTTATTTTTTTAAGACCTTGAGATGGGCAGATTTCATAGCGCCTCTTGACCACCTTCCATTGTCTTATTGGCCTCATCTGCTCATTTTTCCTTTTTCTCTAAACCTGACCTCCTGCTTGGGACCTAAATAACCCATTCTTTTTTGGTCTTTTCTTAGTAGAGATGAAGAACCGCCAGACAGCAGGGAAGCTCGCATTGTGCCCTGGTGTCATCCTCTGGTCAGATGAAGCTTAGCAGTAGGACCATTGAGAAGGAATAAATGAAGGGTATCCTTGGAGGTCCAGACCAAACTAGCCCCTATCCAGGAAAATATATAAACCCAAATGACCTCATTTTGCTAGTGACTCTCCAGCCTGCCTTGAAAAGAAGGCTTTTTGATAATATTCCAGGTGAAGTTTTATAACTGCACTGGAGCCATTTCTAACCCACCCTTTAGGCTTTGGAAGTTTCATCAAACCAGCCCTGTGGGTGGTAATCAAATGCAGGTGGATTCCATCTGCCCAGAGCCTTTCCTCCTACCTAATCAAGTGAGGGCTGGCCTGCCCATGATGCAGCATCCAGAGAAAGCATTCCAGCCTGCAGGCATATGGTGCACTGTCCTCTCCCCTTAACCTTTCCCCACCCCCCCACACACAATATAATCACACATCCCTCTCCCTTAAGAATGATTATGCCATATTATCCCATTGCATCCAAGTGCTCACATCATTGTGCAGTCTGAGGGGACTGTGTTTCTTCAAGTTTGTTTCCTAAGTCTTTGCAGTTAAAAATCATGTATTTTTCTTGACCAGAGATTAAAGGATTAGAGTTAATGTTCTAATACATATTACAAAACTGCTTCTAATTAGTGGTTTCTTGAGGGCATCCCACTAACTCTAGTGACCTCTCTCCTCTTCCACAAATTCTGGTCTAAAATCCATCTTGCATGGCCCTGTAGTTTTCAAGTCCCTCTCTATATTTCATTCCTTCTTTCTTCATAAGCCTCCTTCAAGTATGGCTAAATATTCTTTTGTGGTGTCTTTTTTAGTTGCAAGTGTTCCAGATCTTCTCATTTGGGATGTCTATCACAGACCTCGTAGCACTGATGCTGTAATATTGAATAATAAGGTCAGAGACACCGCAGCACCACTCATCTACCCCTTATATTTGCTCAGTGTCTCAAACCCCAGGTGTGTGCTTTCAAAATGGACTTGCCTTTCCAAATTGTTAGATATTTGGGGGGGAAACCTTACCAATGAAAAGCTCTTTTAAATGTGGTAAATTTTGGTAGTTGGGTGGATTGCCTTTTCAGAGCAGGTGGGTTTTTTGGCCATTTACACCTAGCAGTGTTTGTTCTTTAGTGAGCTGGAAGGGTTGGCCAACCAGTTCGTGAAATTTCCTTTCCAGCGTGTAAAGGTGGACAGGACTTGATGGTGCTCCCATTTAATAGTAATATTAAGTTACACGCAGAGCTGGAGTTGACAGAGCCTAGAAGACTCTTCCTATCTTCAGGCCTTTCAGCCTTTTGAGGTATTGATGATAGAGAACAAAATGCTGAAAATGTACAGTTTTCAGGATTTGGTGTTGGACATATCTTCTCCCTGTCAGAATTCTCATCTCTGATCCCAGATTCCAGAAGCTTAGCCAACAAGGGATTGTTGGCTGTCATCTTAGTTTGTGGTTTATATTTGTATGTTAAGGAGTTTACATGTGTATAATCACCATGCATCATGTTTGTACAAGATATAATTGCTGAAAATTATATCATGAACACATTTTAACCCATCTCGTAGCTGGCAGACTGAGTATCTCTCTCAGATACTTGTCTTTGGAAGCTGCCTTTGCCCCAAGCGCAGTCTGATGCACAGAGCTGTTCAGACCAGTTTCTTTTCTGCATTGTACGTTGTTCCTGCTGTCAACTAATGTCCAGTTGCAGGACTAGTTTGCTAGCAGATTTTTTTTCCATTCTTTATCACTCTTTGCAGCCTATAAATATTAATTTGCTGTTAACTTGCTTATCATACTATCCAGGAGAGGGGAGAAATTAGAGCAAATTCTGTATCCTTCAGTCGCAGTGACTGAGGAAGATCATGAGCCTGCCAAGGACTGTGCTTAGTCTGTTCCTACATAGTACCTTATGGATCTCTTTAGGAATCACCAGATATGGAAGGTCAAATCCAACAGCCAGCTACTAATACTCAGTACCATTGTTGGAATGCTTCCTGTGTGTGCAGAGTTCTGTACTAGGCACTGTTGGGGGTAGGTGGTAGAGTATGGCTATAAAAAAAGAAAAGACAGTCACTGATTAGAAGAATTTTAGTCCATCGGGGAAATAACAGATGTGTGAACATGTAGAAAATTATTTAATAAACTAAGCAAATTAAGTAACCAGATAGCCTGGGGAGTATGTTAAAAAAAAAAGATGAGAATATAGTGGGGTGAGTTGGGAAATTTTCTAGGGATGGGAGGTTATATTAAGGGTAAAAGATATTTTAATCGTAAGACATTGGCATAACTAATGCTAGCTAATTTAAAAACAATTTGCTTTTCTTCTTCTAGATTTACAGGAACAGATGGACCCAGTGGCTTTGGCTTCGAGTTGACATTTCGACTAAAGAGAGAAACAGGAGAGTCAGCTCCACCCACGTGGCCAGCAGAGTTAATGCAGGGCTTGGCCAGATATGTGTTCCAGTCAGGTATGAGACCATAGGCAGCTAGCATCTTGTTTTCCCTTAGGCTAAGCGCCTAGTTGATCTTGGAAATGTACACATATATTTTGATATCTGTTTAGTTCCATATTCCTGTTCATTAGCTTAGTTTGGAGTATTATACCACCCCTTCTGTTTCTTGACATTCCTAGGACAGGGCTTCACCTAGGCCCTAGAAAAAAAGGTTTTATAGTACGACCAACTTCATTGTTCCAAGCTGCCCAGGATCCATGTTTGAAACCTGCCAAGCAGCTTTAGATTTTGATAGGCTGAAAGACAAATTGATACAAAGCTAAGCAGTTTTCTCTTATCTTCTCCATTCCTGTGCTTAAGAGTTTTCTCTTGCGGTCACTGTTTGTTGGGGTTGCAATCATAGGTTGTAGCCTTGATTTCCATTTCAGGCAAGGCTTGAAGGATTTGACTAGGGGGGAAGGGATTATTTGGTAAGCAGTAGGGAACCATGGAAGAATTTTCAGCTGGAAAGTGATATCTTTTCTGAGGCTTGTTTCCATAGTTTGTGAAAGGGGTAAATAGAAATAGATTGGGCCTTAGACAGCCCTCGACATTGTATTTTATGCAGTTGATTCATGTATTCATAGCTTGTGGGTTAGCTTGCAGGAGGGCAGGTAACTGATCAGGCAAGAGAGACTTTGTACCAGGAGGCCTGTCCTTTTTAAAAAATATATTTTGATGCCTTTTGTTTTTATTTACATCATTGTCATCTCTTGGGAAAGACACCCTCTCCCGTATCGAGCCCTCCGTTATAACAAGAAAAATAGTTAAGCAAAAGCCTCTGGTACTGTGTCCACATTTGACAATTCATATAACTTTCTCACCTGTTTTTCTGGTTGGAAGTATGCTTCATTTGGGACCATTGTTGCTTTCTCAGTTACTCAAGAGTTCAGCTTCCTTCTAGTGACCTCTTAAAACACATTTTCTTTTTAATTATAAAGTTAACTTTCATCAGCAAACTTAAATATTTCACTGTATGAAGAACAAAAAAGTATTGTACATGAAACCATGAGCTTCTATTACATATACTTTCAGAGTTTATATTTAATATGATGTTAATAAAATTACTCTGTGTCCATTTCTGAAGTTGTTTTGTTTTCTTCAGTGTATTTTTTGTTTTATTGATGTTCGTTTTTTCCCCATCTCATTACCTACTAGCTTGCTCTGCCTTCCAGTAGAAGTTCTCCCATTTAAAAAATAATATAACTTCACACTAGCTGTGTGACCCTAGGCAAGTCACTTAACCCCATCTGCCTAGTAACAATAATAATAATAATAGAGTCAAGCAAAACAATTCAGTATATCCTCGATGGCTAACAAATATATGTCTCATTCTGTATCTCTAGTCTATCATCTCTCTGCCAAAAAGAGGGCAACATGTAAATGTAAATTGTTCTGTTGGTTTTCCTCATCTTTACTTTGCATTAATTCGTTGAATAGCTAACCAGGTTCTCTTTATCCACCGTATTCATCATTTTTTACAGTATTTTTTATATTTTAAAAAATATTTTTTACCAATATTCCAATTCCACAATTTGTTCTCCATTCTCCATTTGGTGGACGCCTACCCTACTTTGTTTCTGAACAAAAACTGCTTCTATAAATATTTTTGTGCATATTGGTCCTTCTTTCTTTGATCTTTTTGGAATATATGCCAATAGTGGTATTTCTAGGTCAAAGAGTATACAATAGTTTAGTGATTTGGGGACTATAGTTCCATATTTCTTTCTAGAATGGTTGAATGAATTCATAGCTCCACCAGTGGATCTAATCCAAACTTCTTTGGGACTCTGGGCTTCTGATTGGTGAGCATTCTCCTTACATACCTGAAATCCAGACTTACCATACTGCTCTCTGGCCATTTTCATGCCATACCTTCTTGTACCTCACCCTTCCTTCTTGCTTTCTTATACTATCTCTGAAATTGGCAATAAAATCAACACCACTGAAACCACTATCTGCTGTTCCTCTATATGTTTTGTTTTTCTCTGCTACACTGTAAGGTCCTTGGTGGCAGGGATTGTTTTGATCGCCTATATTTATGTTTCCAGAACTTAGCATCGTGTTGGGTTCAGAGGAAGCTCTTAATACAAGCTTCCATTTCATTCCAACCCCCTCGTTTTACAGATGAGGGAACTGCAGATTGTACAAGAGCAACTGAATTATTATGCTTTATTCCCTGGTCCACCTCACATCCTAGGTGAAGTGATGCTTCAATTTACACTATACTACAAGAATCCTCAACAGCAGCCCTCCATAATAATCCAGTTGCTCTTGGTCCCATCCTGAGAGTTAGTTATGTTTAGAGCAGTGAGACTGATTCCATGAGCCTCATAGAAAAATCAAATTCATTACTATGTCAAGTCACACCTGGCAGACTGCTGGTAAATGGTAGAATGCAGAGTAGTAGACAGTAAGTTCTTCATCTTCACAATTTTTTTTTTGGTGAGGGCAATTGGGGTTAAGTGACTTGCCCAGGGTCACACAGCTAGTAAGTGTTATGTGTCTGAGGCCGAATTTGAACTCATGTCCTCCTGAATCCAGGGCCGGTGCTCTATCCACTGCACCACCTAGCTGCCCCGTAGACAGTAGGTTTTTAAAGTGTCCAGAGGCCGGCCTTTGATTAGGGGGTGACAGTGGTCCAAAGTAAGAGGGGAAACTTAAGTTCTTAAATTTGTTGGACTCTCTGTGATCCCTTTAGCTCTGTTCCCTTTGGTCTTCATTAGGCTCCTTCATTAGCTGTGCTGAGAGTATTCTTCCCTTGCCCTGGCCTACCCCACTGTCTTCCTTCATAGCTAAGGAGTTTGTATCTTTCACCAAATAATTTGATGAAAAGTAGACCTTTTTTTTGGGGGGGGTGCTAGGCAATGGGATTAAGTGACTTGTCCAAAGTCACACAGCTAGTAAGTGTCTGAGGTCAGATTTGAACTCAGGTCCTCCTGACTCCAAGGCTGGTGCTCTATCCACTGTGCCACCTAGCTGCCCCCCAAAATAGACATTTCTAATGTGGGGTAGGGGAAAAAGCACTGGACTAGGAGTGAGAAGATTTGGTGAATCCTAATTCTGTCACTAACTTTTTTTTCAAGCCGCATGCATTTATTGTCCCTTTTCTCCCATCATTGAAAAAAGAAGAAAAACAAAATCCTTGTGACAAATATGCAAGGTCAAGCAAAACAAATGCTTGCATTGGCCATATCCAGAAATGTTTATCTCATGAGTCTGTCAATTCTCTGTCAGGAAGTGGGTGGGATGTTTTGTCATTGGTCCTCTGGAATCTTGGTTGGTCACTTGATCAGAGTTCTGAAGTGTTTTAAAATTATTTTTCTTAACAATGTTGTTATTATGTAAATTGTTCTGGTTACTTCACTCTGTATCACTTCAGATAAGTTTTCCCAGGTTTCCCTGAAAACTCTCCTTTTTATTATTTATTGTTGACCAGAAATATTCTGTTACATTCAGAAACCACAGTTTGTTCAACAATTCCTGAATTGATGGACAACTCCTTCTTAGCTTCCAGTTTCTTGCCATTACAAAAAGAACTACTATAAATATTTTTTGTACGTATGGGTCTTTTCCCTGTTTCCTTGGTGTGTAAGTCTAATAATTAATTATGCTGGGATCAGAGGATATAGTGACTTTTTGAACATAGTTCCAAATTACTTTCCAGAATAGCTGGATCACTTTACAACTCTACCAACTATGCATAATGTGCCTGTTTTCCTGAAGCCTTTGGGCTTCATTTGTAATTTTTTGTAATTTTTCGTTTCTGTCATCTTTGCCAGTTGATGATTGTGAAGTAGGACCTCAGAATTGTTTTAATTCTAATTTCTCTGATGATTAGTAAGTTGGAGAATTTTTTCATGTGATTGTTGTTAGACTGTATTCCTTTTGAAAACCTCCTATTCAGACCCTTTGATCAGTTGGGGAATGTCCTTAATTCTTACAAATTTGAATCAGTCCTTTTATACATCGTGGAAATTATAATTTTATCAGAGAAACTTGCCTCATTGTTTTTCCAGTTAACTGTTTCTGTCTAATTTTAATATCTTTGGTTTTGTTTGTACAAAAATTGTCCTTTTTATCTTCTGTAAATCTCTCTTGTTTGGTTATTCACAGGCTCTTGCTGTACCTGTAGATCCAAAAAGTAACTTCTTACTTGGTCCTTTAATTTTTTTTTTAATGTGACCTTTTATGTTTAAGTCATGTATCAATTTAGTATGAGGTATTAGTCTAAGCCTAATTTCCTCCCTACTGATTTCCAATTTTTCTAGTAGTTTTTAGTATATAGTGAGATCTTACCTTAGTAATTGTGGTCTTTGGGTTTATCAGACACTAACCAATTTTTTTTCTTTTGTATGTTGTATACCTAATTTAGTCAACTGATTAGCCTCTTTATTTTTTAGATGTCAGCAAAAACATTTTGATACTTACTGCTTTGTAGTACAGTTTGAGATCTAGTACTGTTAAGCTCTTTTTCTTCCCACCTTCCATTCCATTTTTTTTTCATTATTCCCTTTGAGATTCTTGCCTTTTTGTTCTTCCAAATGAATTTCATTTTTTTCAAGGTCTATAAAATAATTCTTTGGTATTTTGATATGGCACTAAAATAAATTTAGGTTGTGTTGTCATTTTTATTATGTTGATTTGGCCTACTGATAAAACAATATTCCTCCAGTTATTTAGGTCTGTCTTTACTTCTGTAAAGAGCGTTTCATTGTCGTATTCATAGAATTCCTGTGTGTGTGTCATAGTAGGAAGACAAGGAATTTTTTTATATTCTGTAGTTATTTAAAATCAAATTTGTCTTTCCACCTCTTCCATTTTATGTTGAGTTTTGTTAGTCATATACAGAAATGCTGGTTATTTATTTTATATCCTTGTAACTTTGCTGAAATTGTTTCCTTTTTTTTGTTTACTTTATAAGATTTTCTAAGTAAAACATTGTATCATCTAAAAAAGTGGTAATTTTGTTTTCT